AACTTGTTGGTTTTTGCCTGTGGATCTTGTAATTTGTGTGACAGGACATTAGGTATGAATGATAATGGGGGAAGTTCAAATGTTCTAGGATGTTTTGGTTGGTCAAACAATGTATACCCATCTTGTCAACAGCTGCCGCCTACTCTCACTCCATACTGAAGTTCAGAACAGATGGCCAGAATGATGAGAATAAGCAACAAGGAACTCACTCTGGCTGGCAAAGAACCAACCAAGCAGGGAGCTATCGCCCAACAAATATTCAGAAGAAAATGGAGACGGATATAATTGGATACACATTGGGTAGACCATTTGGGAACATCACGCACCAGGTCAGGCCGTTGAGTGGAAACCGAATGGGAAACGACGAGTTGGGCATCCCAACTGAGGTTGACATGGAGGCGATGGTGTGAGGAGGAAGTGAAATGTTAAGGGAAGTCATAGAGTCAGGTTGAGAAGGCTGCGGAGAAGGGAGTGAAATGTTGACGTGCTACTGAAGCTCTTTATTCCACTGAGAAGCCAAAGGACAAGTAGTAATGGTAATTTATTAACATTATTTAATATCCTCAATTCATTGCCTTATTTGTTGACCCATTTTGCATGCTTCTGTTAAATTATCATTGTTGAGCAATTCTTCGACAACACATGTGTCTCTTATCTCACCACTTGTTATATCATTTCGTCCATCTTTATTTATTCAGTGACCCATTTTCTATTTCTTCCACTTGAATAAATGCCACCACCTACATCGATTGTATATTTTGCATATTGACTGAGCAACTCTCTTTCTAGTGAAATTACTTGTCATTTTAGCGAGTTTTAATTTTCTTTTTTGTTGAATCATTGTTGTATCTTATCAAATTTTTGTCTCTTCTCCTTGTTAGCGTACAATTTCCTGGACCTATACATCATAACTTTAATCCAACTTTGAATAATCGTTCAGTTGGTGGCAATCTTACACCTGCTTCTCTTATCGTTAATGATTTAACTGGACAATCATTAATTGAATTGTGAGTATACATTTTATAATGTTGTTATGCTTTGTTTTTTTGAGATGAATGCGGATTTTAATTGAGAAGTAGTATTCATTATCGAGCGACATCAGTTAGGGAACCATTGGAAGTCTTGGAGCACTGGACAGCTGTCTCGTCCAATTAGTATGGGACTCCTCAGCAGTACGCACCCACGACCCGGCTAAGTATGGAACTCAGGACCTTCAGGTTTCACAGCGAACGTGTTAACCATTCAGCCACTGGATCGGTTTCCAGCGGTTAACAATTTCCAACTTTTGTCAGTTCATGACATAGCGCGACTGTCACCTAACATCTTCCTTCAGTTAGCATCCACTTCACTTCCGACTGGTTGACCCCACAGATCATGACTTCTCATTACACCTTCCTGATATGCATATGGAAGCAAGTCACTAATGAGTACCATACAGTAATGTGTTCTTGAGATGAATCACTTTTTAAATTCCGAAATAGTATCCATCATGGAGTGACGTCAGTTGGGGAACCATTGAAAATCTGGGAGAACTGGACAGCTGTTTCGTCCAGTTAGCATGGGAATCCTCAGCAGTACGCAGCCACGACTCGACTAGGGATCGAACGAAGCTCTAATGAGAAGTCGTGACCTGTGGGGTCAACCAGCTGTAAATGACGCAGATGCTAACTGAAGAGCTTGATTGATAGTCACGCTGTATCATTAACTGACAGAAGTTGGAAATTGTGATCCACTGGAAAGCGATCCAGTGGGTGAATGGTTAACGCATTCGCCGTGAAACTTGAAGGCGCAGAGTCTGATCCGTAGCCGGGTAATGGGTGCGTACTGCTGAAGAGTCCGATACTGGTTGGACGAAACAGCTGTCCGGTGCTATCGGCTTTTCAATGGTTCCTCAACTGATGTCAGTTCATGATGGATACTACCTCTAAATGTTGTTATGTGTTAATGTTTGCTTTATATGAATGCATACATAGACGTAATAGAGTCTTTCATCAATTAGTTTAAATAATTTTTCACAAACCTCATTGCTTTGATGAATAATCACCCACTCTTCTTAGCTTTCCTCTTCATTGACTCAGATGTAACCTTTCTATATACTGCAGGATTACAGTATTTTTGTTATCATCTGTTTTCTCCTCTATTGCATCTTATTTCCCTTGATATAATCTTATGTCAATTGTGTAGGATAGTGGTGTTTTAATACCATATCGAACAAAATATTCATTTATTTCAGCTGATAATAAAAGGGGTGTTTTCAACATGCTTATTCTATTCGGTAGGCTCTGTATCAACATGCTTTCTTAACACTGAACGGATTCGCTGAATAGTTATCCAGAAATCTTACTGAATGATTAGATTAACACAGGTGCATCGGCTCGGGTTGCCGCACTTTATTGTATGTAGTACATCTTCCAAAGCTTGAATATTTTCACTAACCATTACCTCTAAATCCCTGATTCTCTTAAACACCCTTGTCTACCTTGTTTTCACTCTTATTCTACTCACCTGTTCTTTGTATACTACTGTGAAGTGTAACAACTTGAGCCGATAAACTTGTATGCGAAATTCTTCGTTGACTCCGTCTGTCTGTCTTTAGGCCATGTCAGGGAGTGAATACAGAAGTCCTCAACCACGTATTCCTTTCATCCTGAGAACTTTAATCAGGCAGTCTACATCTTCTCTTCACATATCACTGGATACCGATCCAGTAGCCGAATGGTACTGTGGTGGCAGTGGTGAACACTGGGGTGGGGCCCTATACTTGGACAAAACAGCAGCCCATTGCTCATGGGTATCCAGTGTTTCTCCAACTCATGTCAGTCCTCGATAAATACTAACCTGAAATCAATCAGTAAAAATCCCCACAAACCTACAAAATTGAAGCTAGATTATATTTCCTTCTATCTGATGTACGACACATTCTAATGTTGAACTCTTCAGCTAGTTGGTCTTCTTACATTTTGTAGGCCTTCCTAAAGAATACGAAGTTAAGTGTAGTCAATGTTTAGATGGTCAAAAGCAGGTTGAGATTTGATGGTTTGAAAAATATTGAGCGACCGCCAGGTTCGAACCCCACCATGACCTAAATTCTCATTTCACCTTCAACCATCATTTAGTATCAATACTAGTCTCCCAGACCCCGACTAACTTAAATTCTCAAAATGATTATATATGGTTGCTTGATATGTGTGTGTTCTTCCGCATAGATGATTCTACATTGTCAAATTGTTGAATAAAGATCATATGCATATTGTAGTATATTGTGTTTGATTAGTATGTGAATTACAGATTGGGACTTGTATATACTCACGTGTGTTGGTCACGTCAGAATGTGAGAGAGTGGGTTGAGACCAGATGAAATTATGTTTTATTCCCTCATTCCTTTCCATGTAGACAATTCTAATTCCACTTTGTGTGAAGATATTCCGGTACGAGATATTGTTTTTATACTGGGTGATGATTGAAAGTGAGATGGGAATCTGGACAGAGGTCGGATTCGAATCAGCGACCACTAATTTACCTGCCCAGTGCTCTATCAACTGAGCTACTAGGTCCGACTGCTGACCAGAATTTTATTTCACTTCAATCAACGACCAAGGGTTTTGCTCGACTACCAAGTGAATCCATGACGCGTTACTACCACTTGATCATATTCACACTGGCTGCCCACCAGTCAGGACTTCTCATCCCAATCCAATTCTAACTGAATCAGAGAGGGTGAGCATCATATTGATTATGATTCGACTATGTAAGATAGTCATAGTTCGGCTGACTAGTATTTGTACTGGGTGATGATAGAAGGTGAGATGAATCAATTAGATTTGGATTGGGATGAGAAGTCCTGACTGGTGGGCAGCCAGTGTGAATATGATCAAGTGGTAGTAAGGCGTCACAGATTCACTTGGTAGTTGGGCAAAACCCTTGGTTGTTGATTGAAGTGAAATGAAATTGTGGTCAGTAGTCGCACCTCGTAGTTCAGTTGGTAGAGCACTGGGCCGGTAAATTAGTGGTCGCTGATTCGAGTCCGACCGCGATACGGATTTTTTTTATCTCACCTTCAATCATCATCCAGTACAAATACTAGTCTGCCAAACTATGGCTATCTGAGATAATCGAATCATGAACATTGTTTATAATTTGTAAACTCACCTTTCTGAATAATTTCGACCTTATGACCTGAAATGATAGCGTGTTGACCAGTTATGGCTGAAATGTTTTCAAGTTTCGTTTTAGATGTTAAGCTCTCCGGGTGTTCAGTTTGTTTTTTCTTGCTTTTGATTCTACATGAAGTTTGTCCTATGTATACTCGATCAAAGTTTGAGCATTTTATTTTGTGAACATAATTCGATTGTGAATCCAGGGGAATTTCGTCCTTCATATCCATTAAAGTGCTCTTCAATGTGTTTGATGTCGTAGAGAATATTCGGATGCTACACTTATTGAACACTGTCCTAACTTCATCCAAGGCGTCTGATCGGTGTGTGATGACTATTGTTGAGGCCCATGATTTACTGGTAGTTTTACGATCTAATTTCATAATATATTCTATTTTGTGAATAGATTTCACTGTATTCTACTAGTCTATTTCATTGTATTCACTGAGGTTAGTTTGACTCTGTGATGCTCTACGTTTTTCATACCACGTTAAAATTGGCTTATTAAATAAGGTTGATATCTGTCACACAGACTCATACCGAGGCGATGAAGAGGAGAGGATTGACTCAATTCTTAGAATGTGATGAATGAAGTTGAGTACTCTGAGATGAAATAAGAAAATCCTTGGCTAACTACACTTTTTTTCTTGGAGGTATGGAACTGGACAGTGGAAGTGTGATACTGTATCCATTGGTAATGAGTATAAAGACTTGGACAGTCTTGTTATAGGCTTATCTTTATGTTGTAAGTAAGGTTTTACTTGTTCACATTTCCTGGACTCCTTTTAAAACAGAGTACAACTACACAAGAACAAGGAATTGCTTCATCGAGAGACTGTCAATCAAATGACTAAAGAATGCCTACAATGGGAAGAAGCATTATCTCAATGGCGAGCAGTTTTCGCCAATCCAGGTCCAAATCCATGGTTGAATTCAACGCACAATATGCATCCATCTATCATATCGACTGGTTCATCAGTTGTCAACTCATCTATGGATGATAGTTCCAATGGTTTCAATTCAGATAATCATACAAATCTATTATCTCTGCCTGATATCCAAGATCTTTGGCATGATGATCGAGCTAGGCCTGTCAAGTAAGTTCTCCTTACTTTACTATTCATCATCTTGTCTGTCATTATTAATGTTTTTAAGGTAAATGGTAACCTGATGCGAAAGGGGATGGATAAGTGACATTTTATTGACTCATTTACCTGCAGTATTCGGTGTGTATTCATGTTTGTCATTCTGTTGAGATGGTAACAGAAAACCAGTTATATGACTGATTCCTTTCAGATTGCCATCACCATTTGCAGAACTGACACACTATCAATTCAGCTGCATCTCACAGTGTATCCAATTGTTCAGATGAAGTAGTTATGGACATATTCACACCTTTTCATCTATCTACTTGTGACTTATTTTTGTCTTCTGATGACAGGCCTAAACCCTTGTCAGTCTCATTCTACGTTGAAATGCAGAGACTCAGTTCATTGACCACTAGTAGTTTTCATTGGTTCACACCATTTCACTACAAAGATGAAGTCTACTATTGTGTTCTAGCAGCTGGTAATACATCACTTAGTATGTCCTGATGTGTTGGGAGAAAAAGGCAACACAGAAGTGTGTGCAGATGTCTTCGGATATTGAGAACAATTTGGTGGAATTAAGTCAGTTAGAATGTAAAATACTCTTTTTCAATAAATTCATTTAATGAATGATATACAGATATGAAGTAGAACAATGGGTTGTGATAGTTTTTTAAGCTGAAATCCACGGATTATCTACCGGGTGCTCTATCGACTGGGCTACAATATTCATCTGTACTGATCAGATGTCCACTTTTGTCACGAAGGGTTTTCGTCGACCTCTAAGTGATATAATATTCATTTTGAAAGTATGTGAGAGTGAGAGACTGACCGATTTCAAAGCAGTATTTAACAAGAGTTGACATCAGTTGGAGAGGTACTGAAAGTGTGGGAGTACTGGACAACTGTTGTGTCCTGACATTGATCGCACTGTGCTGTGAACTGATAGGAATGATAAAATTTGAACATAATGATTAACGTGCTTATTGTGATGCCTGATGTGGTTATGGGTGCACACTGGTGAGGAGGAGTCGTGTACTGGAATGGGGTAGGTGTTCAGTACTCCAAAGGATTCAAGTTTTTCCAACTGACATCAGTCTGTGATGAATACCACCTTGGTGTGATATTACTAACCATGATTTTAGCCACTTTTATTCCATCTTATCAAATTAGATGTTTAGGATAACCTGAATCACAGGTGAAATGTTTATTTGCACTACAATTGATTAAGATATTTAGAGATAAAGTGGGTCAACAAGAAATCCTTCATATCTATCTCAATGTTATAATATCGCGGTGATTATCGGGTCATTAAATGATGCAGAAAATCTTATTATGTGTATACAGGATAGGCGAAACTGTGTGAAGAGATAAGAAGAGAATTATTTTCACTGGTAGTATTGTAATCAGTGTAATTGTATTATCAGAAACGTTTGGAAAAGAAGACTAACATTATAGAGGAGATGAGTAGTTTTGATATGAATGAAATTTAAGCATATGAGAAAGCAAATGAACAATACTCATTCATTTAAGGAGGTAAAATAGGTGTCAATTAGTGTCCAGTATTAGTGGTGGTGGTGGTGGTAGTAGTAAGACATTAGGTGATAGATTAGACAAGTATTGACATGAAAGTATCACTGGAATGCTTCATTGACTTGGCTATTGAGATTCCAAACAATGAGCCCGCTAATTTTAGTCCTGACTTTCGTATTTTGATCGGGTGGTGGTAGCCTAGATCCTGTCAATGCACACATGGAGTAGTGCTCTAATTCGGACGGTGTTGCGGTGCAAAATTTGTTTATTGCTGGATGTTTGGTTGGGAAATATTTCTTCTTCAAGCATCTCAAGGTTTCAGAGACTAACGTTTTGGCCATTTGCCGCTATTAATTCACCTATAAATAAAGTAATTAATGCGGCCAGTAGTTTGAGTTATACAACGTAGCATTATAAATCTTTATGGACAATAACTCGGATGAAGCTGAATAACTGAAGCCACTGATTTGCATTATCTTTCGGACCTCACTAAGGGAGTTGGAATGCAGCAACATTTGCTAGCCCGGAGCAGCTACGCAGCATCTTATGACTCCACGTCAGGCAGTCACCGCACTTTCGCTTCTCCCACGCAGTTCCAGGGTTAGCAAAGAACGAAAGTATTGAAGTTATTGGAACGACATGCGTAACACGTGTCCAAGCCAGCGAACCCAGTGTTTACAGATGACTTCACTTATTGAAGGACGATCTCCTTCACTCCTTAACGTATGCTGTTGTACCTCAGAATTATGTACATGGTGTTGCCACCGGATATGAGCATTCCTATAGAAACAACGATGATAGGACAAAGTGAGTCATCGTACGTCTTCAGCTGGGAAGGGCCAGGTTTCACAGGCGTAGAGCAGAACTGCTCACACCGTCATAAAACCAGCCTTTAACGATCAAACCAATGTCGTGACGGCGCCAAAGGTGGTTCAGATTGATGTATGCTACTTTGGGTTTCGATATGAGGTTAGAAGTTTCATCACACAACCCCACCAGCATTCTCACAACTACTCAGATACATGAATAACTTTTCGACTACTTTCAAAGGCTCATCACGGAGAGTGAACGCAGACACAGACTCCTGCCAATCTTGCAAAAGTACTTTTCACTTCTATGGTGCAATACACATCGCATAGTTCAAGACACTAATCGCCAAATGACTAAATGAGATTAGGTGTGTTACCGCACAGTAAGATGATATCGTCAGTATATTGAAGATCGAATAGCCATTTTCCGGGTAATAGATTTATACCATCATTATGCACCTCCTTCAGTGTTCAAGGTATTGAAAAGTAGATTCATAGAACCTTGTTGATCATTTAAGCATTCGAATTATAGTGCGGGATAACTAGTTGTTTGAAGCAGAGCATCACATAATTACTCTACTGAATGAATGTAAATATGAATGATTGGATATCTGCCTATTTGTATGCAAACTACTAAGAAATTTTTCAAGTATTTTATTGTTTCGTTACAGAATGTAGGACTTTTCAACTTATATTACTATTATTATTTATTATTTGTCCTTGGGTTCCTAGTGAGACATACGGCTTCAGTAGCACGCCTCCATTCCACTCTCTTCTCTGAAATCTTTTCAACCTGACTCCACAACTGCCGTAAACCTTTCATTTCTTCCTCACATCACCTCCTCCATATCACCCTCAGTTGGGACACCCAACTAATCGTTTCCCATCTGGGTTCGACTCGAGTGCCTGACGGGGTGCGTGATGTCCTCGAATGGTCTTCTCAGTGTATACCTAATCCAATCCATCTCAACTTCCTTCCAGTGCTTATTTGTTGAGTGATAGGTTTTTGCTTCGTTGGTTCGTTGGTAGCCAGAGTGAGTTGCTTGTTGCTTATTCTTTCTGGCCATCTGATCTGATCTTCAGTATCGAGTGAGCCTAGGCAGCCGTTGATGAATATCTGTAGTTTATTAGGAATGCTTTCCCTAACCCACCAATTCTCTGAACCATATAGCAGCACTGATATGACTGATATTAGTGTTGAAAATCCGGATGTTGTTCAGGCTTTATGCTGAGTGCAGTGCAGAATATCTCCACACTGCTTCTAGGTTAATGAACGCCTGTCTTGCTCCCTTTCCGATCCTATTCTTGACATCCGCGTCATTACCACTGCCTGTAGTTGAAACGATGCTGCTTAGACCGATGAAAGAGGCTACTTCTTTTAAGTTCCCCCCGTTGATGGTGATTAGAGCTTGTTGTTGTTGTTGTTGGTGGTGGTGTTGGTTAGGTATCTTCATCACCTATGTCTTTTCTACATCCACTTGAAGGGAGTCCCGTTTTCGCTGCCTCACCTCTTCTGTCAACTTGTTAGTTTTCGCCTGTAGCGTGACATTAGACACAAGTCATCATTGGCGAAGTCAAAATCTACTAGGATCTTTTCCCCGTGTCCAGCGTATTCCCCTCTTCTCGCTCCTCACTGTTTGTTGCATGATGCAGTCGACCACAATCAGGAAGATCATGGTGATAGTAGACAGCCTTTTTTCATTCCTGTCTTCACTTCACTTGAAAGGCATCACTGAGCTTCCCATTGTGAATTACTTGACATGTGGAGTCTTCGTTAGCGGTTGTATTAGTTTTCTGGGGTAAAGTTGTTAGCCCTACGCCCAACCTTCCCTCTTTACCTGGGCTAGTGAAGTAGTTAACCAGCAATATTACTATTATTATTTAATCATTATTATTATTATTATCATGATTATTATTGTTGTTATTATTTCTGTTTATTATCTGTTCCTTGAACAAACAACACAAAATAACAGCCTTTGTGAAGTATCATTTCGTTTGGCTATCTGTGAATTCGAGTTGTGCTTTGCAACATGCCTTGCTGACTCCGAAGCTCAATTGGTTAGTGTACTAACCGATGCACAATATCGCTTAAATTGGTATTCATTGAAATTATTATCGGATCCGACAACAATATATCCAAATACACCAGCTAGATTTTTAAACAATCATTCTAATACTTCTGATAACAATATCAATGACAATAGCAATAACAACAACAATAATAATCATCATCATAATGATGATAATAATAACATTCAAAATGGTACAGATGATAATTTCAGTCAATTTTTAAACAATCATGATAATTCAGTGAGTATTTCAATGTTCAATTTTTCCTTTGTGTTATAATATTATTCGGATTGACTCTATATGACAGAGATAGATAGACAGACAGAGTCAACGTAGAATTTCGCATACAAGTTTATCGGCTCAGATTGTTACACTTGACAGTAGTATACAAAGAACAGGTGAGTAGAATAAGAGTGAAAACAAGGTAGACAAGGGTGTTTAAGAGAATCAGGGATTTAGAGGTAATGGTTAGTGAAAATATTCAAGCTTTGGAAGATGTACTACATACAATAAAGTGCGGCAACCCGAGCCGATGCACCTGTGTTAATCTAATCATTCAGTAAGATTTCTGGATAACTATTCAGCGAATCCGTTCAGTGTTAAGAAAGCACGTTAATACAGAGCCTACCGAATAGAATAAGCATGTTGAAAACACCCCTTTTATTATCAGCTGAAATAAATGAATATTTTGTTCGATATGGTATTAAAACACCACTATCCTACACAATTGACATAAGATTATATCAAGGGAAATAAGATGCAATAGAGGAGAAAACAGATGATAACAAAAATACTGTAATCCTGCAGTATATAGAAAGGTTACATCTGAGTCAATGAAGAGGAAAGCTAAGAAGAGTGGGTGATTATTCATCAAAGCAATGAGGTTTGTGAAAAATTATTTAAACTAATTGATGAAAGACTCTATTACGTCTATGTATGCATTCATATAAAGCAAACATTAACACATAACAACATTTAGAGGTAGTATCCATCATGAACTGACATCAGTTGAGGAACCATTGAAAACCCGACAGCACCCGACAGCTGTTTCGTCCAACCAGTATCGGACTCTTCAGCAGTACGCACCCATTACCCGGCTACGGATCAGACTCTGCGCCTTCAAGTTTCACGGCGAATGCGTTAACCATTCACCCACTGGATCGCTTTCCAGTGGATCACAATTTCCAACTTCTGTCAGTTAATGATACAGCGTGACTATCAATCAAGCTCTTCAGTTAGCATCTGCGTCATTTACAGCTGGTGAACCCTACAGGTCACGACTTCTCATTAGAGCTTCTTTCGATCCCTAGTCGAGTCGTCAGTGCGTACTGCTGAGGAGTTCCATACTAATTGGACGAAACAGCTGTCCAGTTCTCCCAGATTTTCCATGGTTCCCCAACTGACGTCACTCCATGATGGATACTATTTCGGAATTTAAAAAGTCATTCATCTCAAGAACACAATACTGTATGGTATTCATTAGTGACTTGCTTCCAGATGCATATCAGGAAGGTGTAATGAGAAGTCATGATCTGTGGGGTCAACTAGTCGGAAGTGAAGTGGATGCTAACTGAAGGAAGACGTTGTGTGACAGTCGTGCTATGTCGTGGAAACCGATCCAGTGGCTGAATGCTTAACACGTTCGCTGTGAAACCTGAAGGTCCTGAGTTCCATACCTAGCCGGGTTGTGAGTGAGTACTGCTCAGGAGTCCCATACTAATTGGACGAAACAGCTGTCCAGTGCTCCAAGACTTCCAATGGTTCCCTAACTGATGTCAGTCGATAATGAATACTACTTCTCAATTAAAATCCCCATTCATCTCAAAAAAACAAAGCATAACAACATTATAAAATGTATACTCACAATTCAATTAATGATTGTCCAGTTAAATCATTAACGATAAGAGAAGCAGGTGTAAGATTGCCACCAACTGAACGATTATTCAAAGTTGGATTAAAGTTATGATGTATAGGTCCAGGAAATTGTACGCTAACAAGGAGAAGAGACAAAAATTTGATAAGATACAACAATGATTCAACAAAAAAGAAAATTAAAACTCGGTAAAATGACAAGTAATTTCACTAGAAAGAGAGTTGCTCAGTCAATATGCAAAATATACAATCGATGTAGGTGGTGGCATTTATTCAAGTGGAAGAAATAGAAAATGGGTCACTGAATAAATAAAGATGGACGAAATGATATAACAAGTGGTGAGATAAGAGACACATGTGTTGTCGAAGAATTGCTCAACAATGATAATTTAACGGAAGCATGCAAAATGGGTCAACGAATAAGGCAATGAATTGAGGATATTAAATAATGTTAATAAATTACCATTACTACTTGTCCTTTGGCTTCTCAGTGGAACAAAGAGCTTCAGTAGCACGTCAACATTTCACTCCCTTCTCCGCAGCCTTCTCAACCTGACTCTATGACTTCCCTTAACATTTCACTTCCTCCTCACACCATCGCCTCCATGTCAACCTCAGTTGGGATGCCCAACTCGTCGTTTCCCATTCGGTTTCCACTCAACGGCCTGACCTGGTGCGTGATGTTCCCAAATGGTCTACCCAATGTGTATCCAATTATATCCGTCTCCATTTTCTTCTGAATATTTGTTGGGCGATAGCTCCCTGCTTGGTTGGTTCTTTGCCAGCCAGAGTGAGTTCCTTGTTGCTTATTCTCATCATTCTGGCCATCTGTTCTGAACTTCAGTATGGAGTGAGAGTAGGCGGCAGCTGTTGACAAGATGGGTATACATTGTTTGACCAACCAAAACATCCTAGAACATTTGAACTTCCCCCATCATCATTCATACCTAATGTCCTGTCACACAAATTACAAGATCCACAGGCAAAAACCAACAAGTTGAAACAAGAGGCAGTGAAAACAGCAACTCAACTGAACGTAGAGAAGACACAGGTGATGAACATACCCAACCAACAACAACAACAACAACAAGCGACAATCACCATCAACAGCAGAAACCCAAACGAAGTAGTCTATTTCATAGACTCACCTATCTAGGCACCATCGTTTCAACTACAGCCGGCACAGGGACAGCCATAGACAACGACATCAAACCTACGATAGGAGAGACAGTAACATACACCTTCCTTCATTATTCTCTGCAGATCTACTGCACTGCATTACACTGCACTGCACTGCACTCAGCATAAAGCGTGAACAACATCCTGATTACCAACACTAATTCAGTCAAGTCAGTACTTGCTTCTATGTCATCGATGGTTGAGAAACTTCGAGTGTTACGGAAGCCATCTCCAACAAACTACAGACATACATCAACAGCTGCCGTCTACACTAGCTCACTCACTCCATACTGAAGATCACAACAGATGGCCAGAATAATAAGAAACAGCAATGAGGAACTCTCGCCTGGAAGCGAAACTACCAACCAACAACCTATCGCCCAACAAATATTCACAAGAAAGTGGAGATGGATTGGATTGGGCACACACTGAGAAGACCATTTGAGGACATCACGCGTCAAGCCAGGCCCTCGAGTGGAACCCAGAGGGGATACGACCAGTTGGGCGTGCCAACTGAGGTTGACATGGAGTAGATGGTGTGAGGAAGAAATGAAAAGTTAAGGGTAGCCATGGAGTCAGGTTGAGAAAGCTGCGGAGAAGAGAGTGAAATGTTGACGTGCTACTGAAGCCCTATGTTCCACTAGGAAGCCAAAGGACAAATAATAATAATTTGATTCGTATACAACACCACAGAGGTAATAAAAGACACCATTCATATGACGAAATGTAGTTTCACAAAAACTCTACTAAGTCTCCTAGTTCCATGATCACACATTACAAAATGTCCTATAGAATTCAGTCAATGCATAGGATTGGATAGTGTAAAGTCGGTTACTTTCCAGTGGTCAGTTAATGCACGTAACCCAGTCCTACAGGGAGTTATTCGCTGTCCAAACAGTTCAGTGATAACACCTTCGAGTTGAAACACTGGATGACGTGGATTGAAATCTCTCAGAGGATATCAGCTCGCTTGTGGTTCTAGATACATCTAGCTGGAAAATACGGGAGTTAGGTTGACTAGGACATCCTGTCGATCACCTTCAACCATCTAACATCAAATTCCATGTTCTTTTGCATAATGAACACAAAAGCATGGGTACAAAGAGGAGAACAATGCATACACGTTGTTTGCCTTGGGTAAGTGAACAAGGGATAACGATAACGGTAAACTAATCTTTTAATTACTTTTCAAATAAAGCAAGATGTGGAGTAGGGTACACTTCGCCTATCAGATACTGTGACGGTGCTCTTTGACTATCAATGCTTCTGGTGGAATTTCATCTGGTCCTGTTGCTTTTTTGGATTTCTTCGACTTTATGGTGTGGGTTTCAGGACTTCCGCGTTTGTCAGAGGGCATGTGTTCACTGACAGTTCTGTTTTTGGGCTGCTGACGGTATTTCTGGACGAGTTGCAGGTGGTGGTTGTCGATTCGAGAGTTTTCTGAAGTTGTCAGCCCATTGTTTTCTTTGTTTCTCCAAAGGGGTGAATAGTCTATCACCAAGGTTGATTAGTTGATGAGGCATGCATTGGGTGTTTTATTAGTCACCGTATTAGCTGATGGCTGCGATAATGATCGTTTCGTAAGACGGAGACACTCTATCAACCTGTGAAGTCGCAAACTGTTTCTCTAAGGTGTGTATCATCATGTCACCAAGTAGCGGATAAGTCAGGCGTCGAGTTTGAGGTAGTAGGGGAATATTACTCGACGAAGTTGTTAAACTTTATCGACTGAGATGGTTAAGGCCTGTGTTATACATGTCGTAGTCACCGTATACTTTGTCACAGTGTTAGCTGAATTGGTTACAAGTCGCCTGACTAAAAAGTGTTATCAGTCCATAGAGTCTGGGACTGTTGGTTTGAGTCGTGTTAAGATATATAAACTTTTTGGTTGGGGTTCGCGCGATAATCAAAGTCAGTGATTGGAAACTCTTTGTGATATGTCTCTCAATGACGCAAATGGATACACGTTTCTGTTACAATCTTTGTTCATAGGTTTCTGTTGTTTCTACTGTTGATTTAATGAACAGTAGTTTTAAAGTGTCACTTTGACTACCTGAGATAGCTATCGTTTGGTTTATTTCTGTTGATACTGGTGATGATTAAAGGTGAAGAGCCACTGCAGGATTCGATCCAGCAACGTCTAAGTTGCCTGCCTGGTGCTGTACTAACTGAGCTTCTTCAACAAATTTATAGTTTCAGGTTAGTGTTTATCATATGTTGATATCAGTTAGAGAACCATTGGAAACCTGAGAGCATTGGACATCTGTTTTGTTCCGATTTGGGACTCTTCAGAAGCGGGCACCCACCAAGGGGTTGATCCCAAGACCTTGAGGTTCTGTGGCCAGTGCTTCACCACTAGGCCACTGGATCAGCATCTCAACTTGCTTCGAGATGAGATTCTCGAAGTTCTAATGAGAAGTCGTGACCAGTGGAACCAACCAAGTTGTATGTGAGGACAGTTACTTAACGGCGGGACTGGATGGAGATCGCACTATATCGTGAACCGATAGAAGTAGGAAATGTGCATCATTGGATACCGACCCAGTGGCTCAGTGGCAAAATGCTGATCGCAGAACTTATAGATCTTGAATTCGGTCCATATCAGAATCATCGGTGTGCATTGCTGAGGAGTCGTACACTAGGACGAAACAACTTTCCAGTGCTCCCAGGTTTCTCAAATTTTTGCGACTGGTATCAGTTGGTGATGAATGCCAACCTGAAATGAATTAAAAAATCCCTGCGAATTTCCTAAGCGAAATTCCTAATCATTTTTAACCATAGTATAATTGTTTTTATATGATACCGTCGTTGGTTGGACTGAATTGATCGGTCTCTATTGGCGTATGGGCTCCTGTGTGGATGCCTCGATATTGCCAGCGTTCTAATTATGTTAGTGATGGATCATGACTAGCAGTGGAATCCAGGATGCGCATTTCGTCCTATTTGGGGCTCGTCAGCTGGATGTACCTGCTTACCGGTGACTGATGTTGTTCCAGCTGACGAGTCCCAAATAGGACGAAATGCGCATCCTAGATTCCACTACTAGCCACTATCCATCATGACTATCATAAGAGCAGCGGTAATTTCGAGGCATCCGCACAGGAGCCCATATGCCAATAGAGACCAGTCAATTCAGTCCAATCAACGACGGTATGATGTAGAAACAATTATTTATACTAAAAAATATACCCGTTACACATAAAGTGACTATCGTGGCTCAGTGTGGTGGGTAGCGCTCTTGCTTTTGAAGCAATCACTCCCGAGTCCGAATCCCGATGGGAACAACATCATGCACTGGGGAGCAGATACATTCAGCTAACGAGTCCCAAATAGAACGAGATGCGCGTCCTGGATTCCACTGCTGGCCACGATTCATCACTAACATTCTTAACCGTAATCATATGACACAAATTCCCTGTTACATTGATCACTGTCACCCTCCTCCCCTCCTCCATGTATATTTAGTCTCGACTAACCGATTTTGCTTATATCTGAATTCTAGTCAAGGTATTGATTATCCATCGGTTGATTGAGTACAGAGCAGATTATATATTCATATAATTAAAGAATAAACGCTATTTCTTGATTCAATAAGTATATCTTTCGCTCAGTACTATCTTGTCGTTGCATATATATATATATATATATATATATATATATATATATATATATATATATATATATATATATATATATATATATACGCCACTTACATTCATCTAATATTATGGCCACCCTCCCTTCATGTCTCTAGTATTGATTGTGAATACTAATCACAATAGATTGATGGGTCATACAATATATTGCTATAGTGACTCTATTGAATCGTCTATTATGTATGCCTGAAATCAGTGATTACCTATATTGGTGTGTATATGTGTGTATAGTGTGCATTTTTACTCGACTGCTGATTGGATAACTTTATACACCATGAATAGTATTCATTATTCGGTATTCATTTCGATAACATGTGAATGGAATGTGTTGTACACCGATTTCTCTTATCTTGTTGGTATATGTTACGTAAGTTTTTCTAAAAAATTTCGATAATATTTACATAGTAATATGTTTATCATCATCATCATCATCATCATCATCATTATCAACATAGGACCAGGCATTACTGCGTAACGGTCCGAGTTGCCACACCTCACGTCAGTTCATCAAGTGGAAAGGTAGTGAGGCGAAGGATGAAGATAAGTGAATACAGTCAAAAGAAATATAAAATACGAGAAGAAAGGAAAGAGGAGTGACAAAATGGTGAGATTCGGTATAGTGTAGTTAAGATGAGGATAATGTGTGTGGGGATACATCTGCGCCACTGACATAGGTTCTGAGCCATATCACCTAGGGTCTGCAACCACTCGTTCCTCTTGTCCCGTGCACCCCAACCACCTAGTCTGTATCGTCCTACATGGCTTAAATCAACAGTCAGAGACTTCATACATTGGTGCCATGTTGTAGTCTGGCCACCTCGGGCCTTTTTCCAGTCTGGACCCACCTCAGCCAACATTGTGTGATGAGGCAATCGGTGACTAGGCATACGTAGTACGTGTCCTGTTTATCATCATGTTATTGATGAGCTGTGTTATTAGTAAGTGAAACTAACTGCCATGATATTTGACTGTGACAACTTTTAACTGACATGTTTGTTTAATTTCCAAGTGGATATATGATATGATTGTGGAGTTCTGGCAAGATAGACGAGTCGATTGATGAGATTGGGAACTTTCATCGACTTAGATGGCTTGGACATGTACTGGGCATGTGGAGTTCAACCATCCAGGTCTACATAGGACCAGGCATTACTGCTTAACAGTCCGAGTTGCCACCACACCACACACTACATCAAGTAAAAACTCAGTCAAGTGGAAAATGAAGAATAGAAAATTCACTCATAAGAAATATTAAGTACTCAAAGAGGGAGAGAAAGGAAGAATGAGAAAATGGTGAGATTCGGTATAGTGTAGTTAAGATGAAGATAATGTGTGTGAGGATACATCTGTGCCATTGACATCGGTTCTCAACCATATCACCTACAGCCAGTCTCCAACCACTGGTTTCTCTTGTTCCACGGACCCCAACCACCTAGTCTGCATCGCCCCATATGGCTCAGTTGAACAGTGAAAGATTTCATATATTGGTGCCATGTTTTAGACTGGTCGCCTTGGGCCTTTTTCCAATCTGAACCTACTTCACCCAACATTGTATGTCGAGGCAGACGATGACTAGTCATACATAACACATGTTGGAGCCAACCACCTCAGTCGATGAAGTTTCACGACTGTGTCAACTGACTTGCCTCTTCTCCCTAAATATCTACACGTGACTTCTGCGTTGTTCAGGTGGTGACACCACGGAATATGGCCTATACAACGAAGGTAATGATGATCAAACACCTGAGGTCTTCTCATGTCTTCCACCTTGAATGGCGATGTTTCACAGCCATAGAGTAGAAAAGAGAGGACTGGTGTGCAGTACACACGACCCTTAGTAGACAATGGGATATCACGTCAGAGTAACTGCCTATCTCTGTGTGCGATGCTAGGGTAAGTTGGATTAAGTTGGAACATGGTTCAGGGTGGCCAGACCAAGACGTGATACCAGTGCATGACGTTCTTAACTGTTGTTCTGAGCCATGTAGGGAGATGTGGACTGTCTGGTTGGAGTCACCTTTGTCTATTTTGATATAATTTTTATTCTATCTACTTATTTTTTGTATATTACTGTGAAGTGTGGCAGGTTGAAGTGATGCACTTGTGGGCTCCATCTGCCAAAGTCCTAGCAACCAGGTAGGAGCCTTCACACAATAGGCAGATGTGACTCATTACCTACTGTATGAATCAGCGCAAGGTTACTGAGTACAATTTGATTCGTTTTAGATCCATGTTTCATTGATCTAAATACTCGACCATTAGTTACTAAATCATGAGTTCTAAGTTACATCGTGTACTTCAATCTGATCAACTGAATATACTAGATCCAATTGATCGATCCTTGTTGGGAGATGGGCTTCTACGTGGATACCATGATATTGCTTGAACATTCATTATGTAATGATTTTCTTGATGGTGACTAGCAGCAGATTCTATGACGCACGTTTTATTCTGTTTGCAACTGTCTTGTCAGGTGGATGTACCTGCTACCCGATGTGAGTAGTGATGCTCCCATTTAGACTTGAAACTCGGTATCCATTGCTTCATATACGGAAATGTCGTCGACATGTAGTAGACAATGATCTGCATCTGTTGTGCGAGGGCTATCCATACGTTGTTAGGTGGAATGGTGTAAGAACTCAACACCCATTGACCAAAAGCCAACTACCTAAACCAATGAGCCACAGCTCAACAAGTGCCAGGTCGCATTATCCACTAGATTTTTGATTGATAACAACAGTAATTGGTCAGTTAGTCTTTTTTAATCTCAATTTTTTACTCTCCCCTTATCAGTTAATGTTTTCTTTATGTTTAGACGGGTGTCTGTGATCTCAGTGATTCATGTTCTATATATCCTAAATTAATTGAAAATATGCCCAATTCTCCATTCATTTTATCAACATCGAATACATCAGATCTATCGTCTAGTGTAGAACATCGCCCAGAACGTAATCGTCTATGGCAGAGTGTTCGACAATCAATGTCAAAATTTCGTTCACATTTTATGCGTAATAATAATATCAGATCATCGACAAGTGCTCTACTGAACACACGTACACATCAATATCGTTTTCGTGAAACGTTAGTAACTATACCCTTGACAAATCATATTACAGAGGATAATACTGACAATAGCAACATTAATCATACCACTAATAATAACAATAGTGATGATAATAATGATAATAATAATGGACTTCATCATACACTCAATACATTCCTCCAAACACCGACGTCTGAATGCGAGAGATCCTCAACCTCCTATACTATGAATATGATGGAGAACCAAAAGGGTCTAGGTAAGTTCTCTCGGTTATATGTCTAATTTCTTTTCTTTTTTTACTGAAAGTACTCTGAAAGTTTGAGAAGAGAATAGTTTTTTTTATATATAGTGAACTTAAAACGAGTCTATCACGTTTTCTTTTATTTGTAGTGAAATTCAACAAACTAGTCTTGTGCATTGATTTTTGAAACCCACCGTTTCCATATCATCAATTAGATTTATAAAACTAAGGAACGCTAGAATAATGTTCCCTTCTATTTGAAAATCTCTTGTCAATGATAGACACACAGAGAGAAATCAATATGGCACTACGCATATATAAGTGCAGTGGTTCGAATTGTTACACCTCATAGTGACACATAGAAAGCACAAGTGGACGCAAAAAAGAATGATAATAATGTAAATAAAAAAGTATGAGAGGAAAAAGGGACCTGGAAAAAAAAAGATGAATGAAAACATTCCAACTCTTGAATACGTCGAATAATGAATACATCTATACCATAGTAACATATTTTCAGGCATTTCACCACCTATTTCCAACCAGTAATTCTTATTGTAATGATGGATAGCGGCTAGCAGTGGAATCCAGGACACGCAGTTCATCCTATCTAAAACCCGTCAACTGCACGTACCTACCTTCCGGTGGGCTATTGTTCCCACCGGGGCACGGGCTCGGGACAGATCGCTTCGAACGCCAGAGCGTTATCCACTAGATCGCCGAGCCACATTAGCCACTTCTTGTGCGACGGGTATACATCTAGCTGACGAGTCCCAAATAGGACGAAATGAACATCCTGGATTCCACTGCTGGGCACTATCCATTATGACTATATAAATAAAAACACAGGTAATATCGAGGCATCCCCGTAAGGGCCCATATGCCAATAGAGACCGATGAATTCGGTCCAATCAACGACGCGATAATACAAGAAATAACACTAATAATTCTTAGCATTTTATTCATTCTGACTGTAGCATAATGAACAACATAATCATTCACCAAAATTATATTCTATAAGGAAAACTATGGAAAGTTATAAACTAAAGTGATGATAACTAGTGAAGTCCTTCACGGATGCCCATTGTAACCATTCCTAATGGTCCAACCACTGGATACCTCCGACTTGACACACGTCATGAAGAGCACCTGGTTTACTCGGAGTACGCAGATGACACTGTCCTTTCATACTGAAACGCTGATAAACTTCAGACCCCTATGAACGGCTTAACCAGTTTTCTATGCAGTTTGCACCTATCGAATGCAAGGTGATGCTTCACGATTGGCCTGCACTAATTCCTACCATAATGATAGGCAGTGAAGTGGTGGAATGCGTTGACCACTACCTTTATTCGAGTATTCCGTCACTTCGAATAGGTTGTTTGATAACAAAATGTCAGTTCACATGTATAGGTAATCGCCACCTCACATCATCTCTAGCACATTAGGGAGCAGTTCGCTCCATGGGTGTTAAAGAGAGATAACAGATTTTCCACCTCACATACCTTTCATCTCACATGTGAGAAATGTCACGGTTACGCAGAGGACACTAGGGAAAACAGTCGATGACATTGTGAACCTTCATCGAGTGAAGTGGATTAGACATGAATTGAATATGCTGAGCGACAACTATGATGTGGTATGTTTACAGAATTAGAACTGCATAGGAAAAGGCTCAGAGTGGTCACACTAAGACTTGACACTAATCCATGAAGTCTATGACACTTCATCCGAGTTGTGTAAGGATGTGCAGACTGACTTGTTGGAGTCCGTGAAATACTAAGAATTTGAAAAACACTATACGGTGATGATGATGACATAGGTATTTGTGATTATGATTCCAGTTGAAGTAGACTATTAAATTTCCCGATGGTTAACTGAAATTCTGTAATATGTTAGAAGGCAAGTATCGAGTTTTTCTATACGTTTGTTGATGGTATTAAGAATTTTAAGTTTTTAGTCAAGATGATATTTTCACTAGACGTTACTTCATTGTTCATAAATGTGCCATTCACCGAGACTCTCTCTTATATATATGACTATATTCATGCACATAATTTAGACGTAGGACTTTCAACCAGCTGCTTCGAAAGTATTTGTTAAGGTGAACATTTAATGTTCAGTTTAGTTTCAATAATAAAATCTATAAACAGAAAGATGGAATTGAGATGGAATCACCTTTCGGACCATTACTAGCAGACGTTTTCATGTCGAAACTAGAGAATACTTAGTCTTGTCAAACTATTAATCACTTTGACTTTTATAGAAGATATATATGGATGACATGTTGGTTATCTGTGATAAAAATGTTGATTTAGACAATGTTCTTCGTTTGTCCAATGACTGTCATCTAGCCGTCAAGTTCACCATTGAGAAGGAATCAGAATCAACTATTCCTTTTTGTTGTTATGCTTCTAACGAGAAGTAGTAAGAATAGATTATTTAAAAGATCCATCTACAGAAAAGCAACATCGAACGGACAACTAATTGAGTGCCTATCAATAGGAAGAAAAATCTTATTCACTCTCTATGCTATCGAATAGAAAATGTCTGTAGAACTATTGTTTTTAAAAAGCACACTTGTTGGAAACGGTTACTCCTGCCGTTTTATTGCTAAATATATGTGAGAAAGAAATATCAAACTGGTCATCCACTTGGTCTAGTCTCAAAGAAAACATTATTCATGACCCTAAAACTTAAAGGTGATCTAGCATCAGATATATTGAAGAATTGTCTATACAAATCAATCAATAAGACTTTCTTCATAGCAAGACTTCAATTAACTTTTACTATCCGTAAGCTATTCTACATTTGTGTTAAGGATAAGCTTCCTTGTTTAGCCACCTCTTTGTGGATCTACCAGTTCACCTGTTCTTATGGAATGAGGTACATCAGCTACGATCAGAGAATGCTTTCTACACATATACGAGAACATGATCCAGCTTGCTTTTACAAATGTGAAAGAAAGTTTGTTAGAAGTTCTATTCTAGAACATTTAATTTATTCCTATCACTCAGCAAACGAAGATGATGACTCTAAAATTGTTTATGTAATTCGCATAAACTTCCCACTTTTTCTTTGTTTTCAACTCCTTAAAACAGTGAAGGCTTTAGCTAGCTTCATGAAATAAAACTTAATCTGTGTATACAAAATAAGTATATATGATCACGACTTTTACCATGGTCATAACATTTTCCTACCCCCTATTGACTTCTCCTCCGCCTTTGTTAGTTTAACCTTTGTATCCTACCTTTGTTACTATTATTGTTATTATAATTCCCTTCGCTTTGATTAGTTTCCGGTGTTATTTCACTTAATTGTATTAGTATTTTTAGAAAACATGAATTTCATCTTGACCAACTTGTCTAATCCAATTACATAATACTTAATTGACTTACCATTGCCACCAGTTTTTTTCATGTTCTATGAACCATGCCACATTAAGTAATCTGTTTTGCTACCACTCATACTTCATTATTATTATTATTATTATTATTATTATTATTATTATTATTATTATTAATTTTTCTCTTAGGTTCCTAGTGGAACACAGGGCTTCAGTAACACGTCCCCATTCCACTCTGTTCTCTGTAGTCTTTTGAACCTGTCTCCACGACTGCCCACAACCTTTCACTTCTTCTTCACATGATTTCCTTCATGTCACCCTCAGTTGGGACGCTCAATTTGTCGTTTCCCATCTGGGTTCGACTCGAGTGCCTGACCTGGTGCATGATGTCTCTGAATGGTCTTTTCACTGTATGCTTAATCCAATTGATCTCCACTTTCTTGTGAATGTTTGTTGGGCGATAGATTGATGGTTGGTTGGTTCGTTGCCAGCCAGCCAGCCAGCCAGCCAGAGTTGCTTGTTGCTTATTCTTTCTGGCCATCTCATCTGATCTGATCTTCAGTATGGAGTGAGCGTAGGTGGGAGCTGTTGAAGAATGTTTGTAGTTTATTGGAAATGCTTTTCGTGACACGCCAAGTTTCTGAACCATATAGAAGCCACTGACTTGACATTGGTGTTGAAAATGCGGACCTTGTTCTTTATTCTGAGTGCAGAAGATCTCCACACTGATATCAGATTAGTGAAAGCCTGTCTTGCTTTTCCGATTCTGGTTTTGACATCCTCATCTATGCCTGTGCCGCCTGTAGTTGAAACTATGCTGCCTAGGTAGGTGAAAGAGACATTCATACCTCAACTGTTATCATAATCACAAATACCTATGTCATCATCCATTTTATCATTATTCTCGTCATCATCATCATCATCATCATCATCATGATATAGTGTTTAGTTTTCCTCATGGCATGCAGTTCTGCAAATTCTTAGTATTTCACGGACTCCAACCAGTCAGTCTGCACATCCTTACACAACTCGGATGAAGTGTCATAGACTTCATGGATTAGTGTCAAGTCTTAGTGTGACCACTCTGAGCCTTTTCCTATGCAGTTCTAATTCTGCAAACATACCACATCATAGTTGTCGCTCAGTATATTCAATTCATGTCTAATCCACTTCACTCGATGAAGGTTCACAATGTCATCGACTGTTTTCCCTAGTGTCCTCTGCGTAATCGTGACATTTCTCACATGTGAGATGAAAGGTATGTGAGGCGAAAAATCTGTAATCTCTCTTTAACACCCATGGAGCGAACTGGTTCCTGAATGTATGTAATATGATGGGATATTCCATCTGTGCTAGAGATGATGTGAGGTGGCAATTACTTATACATGTGAACTGACATTTTGTTATCAAACAACCTATTCGAAGTGACACAATACTCGAATAAAGGTAGTGGTCAACGCATTTCACCACTTCACTGCCTATCATTATGGTAGGAATTATTGCAGGCTAATCGTGAAGCATCACCTTGCATTCGATAGGTGCAAACTGCATAGAAAACTGGTTAAGATTTCTTTTTGAAGCCGTTCATAGGGGTCTGAAGTTTATCAGCGTCTCAGGATGAAAGGACAGTGTCATCTGTGTACTCCGAGTAAACCAGGTGCTCTTCATGACG